AGGCCTTTATACCCACCTGATGACCGTTGGGAGGGGCGAGGCCCTTTCTACCCCATCGGCGTGTGCACACGAGCGGCTACGGCCGAGGGTCTTTTGACCACAGATCAGAACAGACATCAGAGATCAGTTTACAGTTTCAGCTCTTATATATTTATGTTTCATGATACGTTATTATAGATGATGTTTTGTTCAGTACTGGTCTTTGCGGAGCATAGTGGTTTGCTCACGCCCCCATTGTGTTTTTCAGGAGACGGAGTCGAGCGTGCCGGATGAGCACAGATGTGGCGCAGCGTGGTCATGAGAGTCGGACATATTTTACCAGTATTTTTATGTCCTAAATTTATGATCATGTGTATTTTATTCAGTTTATGTACGCATGTTATGTATTCGTATTTCGGATGCTTCCGCCAGCGAGTTTTCTAGACAGTGCGAGACAGTACAGACTACGCATGTATAATTCCATAATCCGCGAGCGGATAGTTTGGTTGCATGTTTTTTTTATTATGTCTGCGGGCAAGCCCGAGTTCAGTTTAAGTTTTTATCTGCCACATCCCGCAATAAGTCAGTATTTTCGAAAACCCAGCTCGCACGTTCCTTCGAAAATAAAAAACAAAAATTTTACTCTGATTTTTAAAAGCTAGTAGTAAGGCGGGGTGTGACATTTTCCCACCTTCACCTCCTATTTTTTGAGTTAACCCCAATTTTTCTTCCAACTCCCAGCCCCGAGGCTTCTCAGTTCCCAACCTTTTTTCTGACTTATTTTTTTCTCCATTTTGTTCAAGTAAGATCTTCTCAGGCTTCCCTGATCCCTCACGACAGTCGTCGACGCCCTCTTCGTTGTCGGCGCCTCAAACACACCCGGACTTTCGCTCACGTCACGACAGCTGCCGCCCTCTTCGTCGTCGGGGCGCCGCAAGCACAGGTGTGTTCTCACATCCCCAGCCCTTTCTCATTAATCTGATCAAATTCAAATCTGATGTTTTTGATTTATTTATTTGTTTTCAGTTTTCTGATTTAAGATTTAACATGGAAGAGCAAGACACAAATGTTGATGTTGAAATGGGCAACGAGGATGATGATAATCCTAAGAACAATGATATTGAAGAGGTTGAACCCGGTAGCAAAAGAAGAAAGAAGTCAGATGTTTGGGATCATTTTATCATACCGAATCCAATTCCACCAAAAGGGGCACGCACACATTGTAAGCATTGTTCCAAAAGTTATGCTTTTGATCGAACTAATAATGGAACTAGTACTTTGAGGTATCATTTGACAAAATGTGCGAATAATCCACTCAAAGTTGATAAGCGTCAGTCCACACTTACTTTTCAACCAAAACAGAAGGGTGGGCACTTTTAAACCAAAACAGAAGGGTGGGCAATTAGTTCCAGTTCAGTTTACAAAAGAATTGGGTGAGAGGGCTCTTGTTATAATGGTTGTTACTAATGAGCAGCCCTTTAGGTTTGTTGAAAAAGAGGGCGTTTTGTACTTTATGAGTGTAGTAAGACCAGAGTTTCAAATACCGAGTCGTACTACAATTGCTAGGAGAGTATTGTCACTGTATTCAGATGAAAAGAAAAAACTGAAGCATTTCTTTTCTAGTTCCTCTCAAAGGTTTTGTCTTACCACAGATGCATGGACTTCATGTCAAAACATCAATTACATGGTTTTAACTGTGCATTATATTGATGACAATTGGGAATTGCAAAAAAGGATTTTGAATTTGAAGTTATTTCCCATCACAAGGGTGAGACAATTGGAAAAATGATTGAGAGTTGTTTGCATGATTGGGGTATTAGTAGAATTTTTACAGTGACGGTTGATAATGCAAGCTCCAATGATTCGGCTATTTCTTTTTTGAAAAGAAAAATTCATAATAATGGAACTGCGGTTTGTAATGGTGATTATTTGCATATGCGTTGTTGTGCGCATGTTCTTAACTTGGATGTGACTGAGGGTTTAAAAGAGTATGATCTGGCTATCCAAGTTATTAGAAATGCAGTAAGATATGTTAGATCTTCTCCTGCAAGGTTTAGAATTTGTTTGAAAAAAGAGGAGTTGGATGATAAAGCAACTGTTTGTTTAGATGTTCCCACTAGGTGGAACTCCACTTTTTTGATGTTGGAGTCAGCTTTGAAATATAGGAAAGCGTTTGAGCGCTTAGAGGAAAATGGACAGTACTCTCGATTCTTTTGTGGCTCTAGTGATGTTTTGAAGGAACAAGGGGCATCTAAAAATTGTGATGTGAATAGAATTGAGCCACCAAGTTTCATAGATTGGGAGGTTGCCAGTAATTTCATGAATTTTTTGTCGATTTTCTTTGAAACTACAAATCGCTTTTCAGGGTCTTTGTATGTGACTTCGAATAATTATTTTCATGAACTGATGAGTTTGCATGAACATCTTGCTGAGGCTATTGAAAGTAGTGATTATGGAGTGAGCTCTATGGCTTTTAATATGAAGAGTAAATTTGATAAGTATTGGGGAAATGTGGAAAATATGAACCCTTTGTTATATGTTGCTGTGGTACTTGATCCTCGCTATAAAAAGGATTATGTGGATTGGTGTTTAGAGGAGATGTATCCTGATGCTACTGTTGCAAACAATTTGAAGGTAAAAGTAAGTGAAACTTTGACAAGGCTTTATGATTTTTATTCCTTTCAACATGCTCCGAATTCTAATGTTTCATCATCTCAAAACGACAATAACTCGGGTGCTGGTCATAAGAAGACTCTTAGTATGAAAGAGAAGATTCAAATGAAGTATAAGTCTTGCTTGCAATCAAGGGTAAGTGATGGTGTGAGATCCGAGTTGGAGAGTTATTTATCAGATGCAAAAGAGAGTGATGATGAGTCTTTTGATTTGTTAGTTTGGTGGAAGTTGAATTCTTCAAAATATAAGATTTTGTCAATGGTTGCAAGAGATGTAATGGTTGTCCCAGTATCTACAGTAGCTTCAGAGTCTGCATTTAGTACCGGGGGTAGAGTTTTGGATCCATTTAGGAGTAGCCTTTCTCCTAAAACAGTGCAGGCTCTTATATGCACGCAAGATTGGGTTCGAACTGCCTTTAAGAAAGAGAAAAAGAAGCCTGATTACCGAGAGGCCTTGCGAGAAATAGAAGAGCTTGAGAAAATAGAAAATGGTACACTTCAATCATGACTTTTCTTATTTTATTTATTAGTGCATTATTAATGTTATAATATTTCTCTAACTTTGGAATATCTTTGCTTTTATTTCAGATTTTGCATCATTGAAGATTTGCACAGATGACATTGATGATTGAATGTAGGGCGTATTCTCAAGAAAGTATTTACTTGCTTGGTTTCAAAACTAATGAATGTTGGTGCTAAGTATTGTTTTTATATATCTGTTATTTTAAGGGAAATCAATTTTTTTTATATATATTATGTTTTTTATATCTTTATTTCATTAGAAGTACATTTATCTTATACTCTCCCAGTCTTCCTATTAAATTGTGTGCAATTTTATTATTTATGTCTTGTGTGAATGAATGACTTTTTTTGTGCAAGAACTTTTTGGTAATTCAATTTGAGGGTGGTTTTGATTTGCGGTTTGTTTTTTAGGTGGGTGGATTGAAGTTCAAGTTGTCTGATGTGGTTCTTAGGGCAGGTTTGGTGGTTGCAGAAGAGCTTAAGACTTCATGGTCATCCCTATTTTGTTGTTGGTTTTGGAGTGGTGGTGCTTTTGTTAGTTTTATTAGTATTTTAATTTTTATGTTGTTTTTGTGTCCAGGTGGTTGTTGCTGTAAATCCACTTTGGCCCATGAATTTTGTACATATTAGTTTGTTAATGCAATTACAATCGTTTGAGAAAAAAAAAAAGATTGTGTATTGAATTTCTAGATTCTCTATTGACCATTGACTATTGGATTTAACCGGTTAACCGTCAAATCGGACCGTCCAATGCGGTCCGGATTATGGTCGGTTAAAAAATAAAACCGGTCCAGTTATGGACAAGAAAAAAAAGTTAACCGTTAGGTCCGGTTTAGTCACGGTTTGGGCTAAAACTGGACCAATCCGGACCGTGAACATCCCTACAATCTGCCAAGGCAAGAAATACAATATCAGCTTCGTTCCTCCATGTGTTTGAAAATACCCAAAGGTTACGGGTCTTCTATAGTCACCATAGCATGTACGAGGTGTGGACTGTAGAATTGTCTGTTAAAACTTACTAATATTCATGGACTTCCCAAATGCTGGTGTAGGTTGTAGAATTGTCTTAGTTTTAAAAGTTTTAGCAATTGGATAAATATGACAGTCCGCAATCAATTTCATTTTAGGATATTGATAAATTGCAAGTGTGATGCATAATAGATTCATATTTTTTTTTAAGAAATGATAGAATATAAATAACACATAAATTTACAAACTAGAATACAACCGACATCAACCAAAATAAGCAGCTACAAAGCTGAATTTATGGAAGTACATCTCATAATCATAGATAAGCCTAGACTACAACAAACACACTCACAAATATTAGATACTCTCACTTGTGGAGAATACACAACTCCTAACACGAGAATCAACACTCAAAAGAGACAAGAACTAGAATACCGCCCTTCCCACCAACCGGCCAGCCCCGACCGAACTCCAGCACAAAACAAATACAATTTCACGAATGGTGCGAAATTGATCCAAATTGAGATAATGTTGCCCAAAGTAATAGTCCACCCATTTTTCCCCTATAATTAGAACATGAACCTGCTCTGGTTCCAATTGAAGTATGGGGGAGAGCGAAATTTTACACAAAATAATCTTTGTGTAACAACACAAAATATAGTGAAAACACAAATAAATAAAATTTTTTCAGAAAACATCTCACTACCCCTAAGAATTCTTTCATTATTGAATAGTTATGTCCCCCAACATATATTTTGGACTTACACGTGAAGGACTCACTCCTAAACCTACCAACACTATACCCCACTCCACTAACTACTTTTCTGGCCAAACTTGTGGACTTAGAAACCTCTCTTGAATCCCTCCTAGGCTAGACAAAACTTATGCCAAGTGTTCAACAATTACAAAAGAAAACTAGGCTCCAACATACAATAATGTATAAACGCACATTTGTAAGCTTGGATTCACAATATATGAAAATAAAAACAAAACTCATGAACAATCAGAGTAAACAATATAATTCAATGACTTGTGTACTCTCAACTTGTTTTTCTGTCTAGGAATATAATCTAAATGTTGTTTGTTGCTAGGTTATTGTTCATGACCATATAATTAAAGCTTTATTGGTTGCAAAGTTTTCTACGATACTCCAGATCTTCAAAATGTTCTCAAGTGTTTCATTCAGTATCACTCTTCAATGATACAATAATCTTCATATACATGGACATTCCAAAATTGATGTAAAAACACATTGTTTTTCTTATGTATGGGATTCTCCAAATAAATGTGTAATTAATTATTTAATAAGTGTTTTATATTTTTCGTGTAATTCTTTTATGAAATGCATTTTTAATATACCTTAATTACGCAAATTGTCTAAATCCAAATAATTTATTCAATCTGCAAATAATTACTAGAATTANTTTTTTTTTTTTTTTTTTTTGACGAAACGATAGAGGTACTATTATAACTCAAACGAACCAAGTTCGAATATTACAAACCAACCGGAAAGGAGAAATGGGAGGACACGTTCAAGGCGGCCTAGAACCTCAACAAGAACAACAACAAAAAAACATACTAACTAAAACCCTCCACTGCCAATGCCTAGAGGTGGCAACATGCCAATCAAAACCAACCACAAAGAGTGTCAAGATCAACAGACAAAAGAGAAAAAAAGAACCAGAAAAACTAAACCAACTAGAATCAGATGGTAGCATTTCCATGCTGTTTTGCAGTTGAGAAAGCCAACCAATTTGCCTGAGCTGCTTTAAGGATCAGCTGCACCGGGATTTGCTTACCTTCAAATAGACTAAGGTTGCGTGTCTTCCAGAGCCACCAAAGGATATATGTTGTTAGTTGTATTCTTGCCTCTGATGACTCAGTTTTGCTAACAGCACAAATAAATTGCCACCAGCATTTGAAGGAGGTATCCATGAAGTTCTGGGAGTTCCAAGTGACTGGAGAAACATGCCACACTCTAGCAGCTTTGGGGCAATGAAACAGAATGTGATTCATGGTCTCTGGTGCAGCTCCACAGAAGTTACAAACCACATCTATTTGCATTCCTCTCTTTTTCAGATTGGTCTTCACAGGAAGAGAGTTTGACAAGCATTTCCAAATAAAAATTTTCACTTTGTTTTCCACTTTGAGCTTCCAGAGTCTTTGAAGTGCTGAGTTAGTTGTTTGACCTCCTTGATTGCTGCTGCTGGGAATGTCCATTTGCTGCAGTTTTTGTTTACACAGAAAAGCATAAGTGCTAGCTACTGAGAACACACCCTTTTTGTGAAATTTCCAGTAGTGCTGGTCAGGTAATGAAGGGTTAAGGGTGTTGATGCTGAGAATGGCTTGACTATCTGCTTCACTGAACACTTGTTGCACCAGCCATCTGTTCCAACCCCAGCCTGTATCATCAAGCAATTCCTTCACCCATATGAGATGACCTCTAGCAATGTCAATGAGTTGTGGTGTTGGGTATGGGAGATCTGGTACCCAGTTAATATCCTCCAGCCTTGTGTCTTCTCCATTTCTGATTTTGGTTGCAAATCCTTTAGCAAATGTAGGGAGTACCGAGAGCCAATTGGACCACATCCATGAGCAGTTTTGGGTTTTCACAGCATTGAAAATGGAGCAGTTTGAGAAATATTTGTCCTTCAATATCCTGCTGACAAGCAACTTGTTGCTGTCTTGAATTAACAACTTCAAATTAAAAACAGTTGATGTCCAAAACCATGAAGATAAAAGTGTAATTGGATTTTTATTGATTATATTCACAAGAGTACAGAAGTCGGTTTTAAGCTGAAAACCGAGATTGTCTTAAGTTCGTGTACAATGTGATTGAAAAAAGATCAGATCCCCTCCTCGTACTATCATAAATTCTGCTATTTATAGTACGGTGGCTTTTGTCTTCTTCCTCGAAATGGATAGAGATGCATTTAATATTGAGCTGCTTTGTTTGAGGCGGCGGGAAACATCAATGATTGCCTTTTTGTTTTGTTGGTCCAATCAGATGCTTCTAATGATTATTTTTTGTTTGAAATGCTCGAACTTTACGGTAGTCGGTTGACTTGGGGTCGGTTCACTCATGTTGGTTTCGGATGTCGGTTTGGATCTTAAGAAGTCGGTAATTTGCTCCAATATACTCCGACTTTTAGGACTTTAATTCTGATTACTGGATTTGATATCAACAGTGAGGCCCCCGACATTAGTAAGTATTTGAAGCTTTTTAAATGATTGCTGATGTCGTTTGTTGTTTCACCTTATTCCGACTTGCTTTGCGTTGTTTACCGACATGAGAACACTTTGCTTCGTTTGACACTTCACGGTATTTGATCTGACATGGCGGCTCTTAAAAGACGTGTCCGCATTAAATGGGCCCAACGGATACAATTTTGTAACGACATGGCGTTTCAAGGTTTGGCCACGTAGAATAATAATTACTGTAACGTTATGTCCCTTGAAGACACGTCCGTTACACGCGCCGTTTCCGGATGCTTCTAACGGTCATAAATCATAACCTATAAATTGAAGTCGGTTTTGGGGCGCAAAAAATTTCTGTACCTTTAACTTCTTCGATTTTTCTTGCGTTCTTTTAGCAACCTTTTCTTTACGTACTTTCCTTGCGCACTCGCTTTTTTCCTGTGATCTTTTCATCAGTTCAGAGTTCTTCGAAAGTTTCGATAAGAGTTTGCCCTAATCTTTCTTGTTTTCTTGTTCTGTTTCGAATTATTCCTGTATTTTTCATCGATTTCGAAGAGTGATGTCTGCACAAACTGAGGATAGCAGTAGCCGAACGATTTCGGATATTCCGATCCTTACCGATGAGGATTTGGAATTGCCCCTGGAGTATTATCGGTGGGATCCCCTTCTGGTAAAGAGTCTTAATCTCAATAGGGATATCATCGATGAGGACAAGCGAGTCGAAGAGGACGCTATGTCACTTCCGGATTATTGGAGGCGTCCTGCCCGTCGGTGGCCAGAGCCGATTGACGAGTATAGGGGCGAACCGAGTATTCTTACCGATGCCGATATCGTTATGCTTCGAGGAGAAGTGTATATTCCTTCGTCGGTTAAGTTGTTCGCCCCATATCCAGGCGAAAGGATCACGTGTCCGCCTCCAAGTTGTGTCGGTGTATTTGCCGACTCACTGAGATCTGGACTTCGGTTTCCCCTCCCGGCTTTAATTACAGACTACTTAAGAAACTGGGGAATTGGTCTGTGTCAGGTAGCTCCCAATTCATGGAAGAGAATTATTGGTCTTCTGGTTCTGTTAAAGGAAAAGGGTTGGGATATGCCAACTGTTGAGGAGTTAAGGAGCCTTTTCTCGTTCCGGAGATGTACTGACAGGCAAGTAGCAGATCCTCTGATTTGCTATGCTTGCGCAGGAAGGCCCCAAAGTGGTTTTAAGATTGGTGATTTGATCACAGAAATCCCGGATTCGCTGCATGGGTTCCAAGAGGAATGGCTGTGGGTCGGCGGGGAGTGGCAGACTCCAAATTTTAATAAGCCTTTGATTGATGGAATGTCAATTCCGATTAACATTAATTCTGCAGTTTGTAAGTATTGTTTTTTCTTCCAATAGACCGAGTTTGTTCTGACTTGCTTTTTATTCATGTACTAACAGGTCATC